TATTTTAATTTGGCTTAATGGAGATTTCTGGTTAGTACTGGGCGCCAGGTGTGGCCCTGGTCCCTGAGAATCACCAACAACTAAGAGTTAGTCCCCGGTCTAGAAGACTTTACTCCATTTTTAAACACTTTTCATTAGAGGCAAAGATTCTCCCTCTGTCTCCAGTCACCTTGCAAGTTGACTGGCTGCATCATAACTATTTTAAACTTAGGTCTTTGGAGAGAGTTTAACCTTCATTTAGTAGAAGGAGATAATACTTGTTTTCTTTTACTCTAGCTTTGATATATTTCTTCCATAGTTAGAATTCCTATTAATGTTTGAGGTTCTGCCTGTCTCAGCACAGCTTAAGACCTAGTGATACCATAAGTGTTTAAAAAATTCTTTTCTTCAAAAACCTCCGACAAATAAAGCAAAGCAAAGGTTGGTTTTTTGTTTTTTTTTTTTAAAACAACAGACACACAAGGGACTTGACAATGATCTTGGAGTTTATAAAGGCTTATTGTACAAATGGGTTTTGGCAGTTGTGATATTTTTCAATCGACATTCAACCAATAGTAAGTAAAACATTTAAAAAAAAAAAGTAAAGGCCAGAATTACCAAATTTGTAGAATTAAGAGACTACAGATTTATAAGATGCTGATATCCTAAGGGAAACTGAGGTATACCTTTAAAAAAACAATTACTTAATCATGGGCATGTAGCTTTGCGGGGAGAAATGGGATTAACATAATTTGAGGTCTTCCTATGTGTCATTCTGTGCTAGACATAAACCCCTCTAGGATATTTTCTTCCGGTTTGTATTTTATAAAAGAGGAAACAGAGGCTCAAAGCTATTAAATTGTTTGAAAACATGCAGCCTGTGAGCAGCAGAACAGGAATTCAAACCCAGCTCTGTCTGGCTCCACAGCCTGTGCTCTTTCCATTATATTATCCTGCTCCTTTTATGGGATGATTTAGTTGCCAACTGGGGATAAAATAAATGGCCTTTTGAAATTCTTTCCGTTGCCCAGATTTTGTTCTCCCTTACTTGATCTCAGTGTTGGCCATAACATCGCTTAGCAATCTGTGTATACAGGAAGGTTGCGTTAGGAAACAATGCAACCTGATGACTTTAATGTAGTTTTTCAAATTTAAGTTTTTCCTCTTCCTGAGTCATAAAAACCCTTGTAAGAAGGGACCCTAGAGTTCACTGAGTAAGCCAAGTCTAATGTTTAAACTCAGTCTCCCTCTCTCAGCAAATATTCATTTAGTCCTATGTGTTAGGTAGTGGAGATAGCCAGGATTTGTCTGTGTTTGCTGCTCTGTCATGAAAGTTTTCCCTTACTGCTCCTGTTCTCTTCTGCATTCTGTAGCTGCTCATTCAGTAGAGTAGGATAGACACTAGGTTGTAAAGGAAAGAGAAAAGGCCAAACCATTTCAAAGATGCTCTTTCTCACATAACTCATTAAGAATCCCCTGGTGCATAGTTGACATCTAAGGTGGTAACTGGGCACATAAAAGTTGATCTTAGCACTTTGCCCTTAGTCTGCAGTCTTTCTAACAAGTTTCAATGCCTCTCCCCCATGTGACTTCAAGATTGTTAAAGATCTAGAAATATTTTGGACTCTTCTGAGCTGACAAGGCAACAGATGGACCTAAAGTGTAATGGTTGGCAAAAACGTGCTGTTAGTAGCTTGATTTGAAGGTGGTTCCGAGGAGCTCAGTAATTTCAGTGGGTGTCTGAGAAAAGATCTGGAAGGGGAGAAAGGAAGTGTCTGTACAGAAAGCCCATGATGGATGAAATAACTGAAGAGACGGAGAAGGAAAGCCAGGAAGAATCATGGGAAATAGTGCCTACCCAAAACATTGGCCCTGTTCTCCAACAACCTCATGCAGGAATGGCACTCTGTGCCTGAAGTTCCCTGACATTGTTACTTGGCCTCCATCTAGCTGTTTTACTGTGTCTTGTGTGTGATGAGCTGTATACTTGCTGTCTCCCTCCATGAGACTGAAATTAAGAGCAGTGAACCACAACTTAGTCATCTTTGAAGACCCCAGGACCTTGTCTGTGCCTCATGTGCAGAGTCAGTGCTCCCAATATGATTAGTGATTGAGCACTTTTTCACTTTGTAAAGGACCAGTACTATGCAATAGATTTTGAATAATAATTGAAGTTAGGGGAAAAGAGGCATTCCCCCTAATGATTCTGGAAACCCAGGAGTTAACTTCACTTGTATTCTAAGAGAGGTCATCTAGTCTACATCTGCCGCGAGACACTTTCCTCCTGTCTTACTCAGCAGCTAAGAGGTTGCCAAGAAACCAAGCAGAGGCTTCTGATTTGGGCCGGAAGGCATCAGATCCCCACACCGAGTGGGCATCAATGCCCATTAGCCTCCTGTCCTACACTGCAAATGTAGGCTGACGTGAATGATTTCTCAGCCTACAGTTTGTTTTGTGTTCCAGTGTGTTCCAGTTTGTCTTGGGGGAAGACAATACTGCAATGTGGTCAAGAGTGTAGATTTTAAAATCAGAGAGGTCTGAGTTAGAATCTTGGATCTGCCACCTGTTAGCTGCATGTCCACAGGCAAGATATATAGCCATTCTCTCTAAGCCTCAGTTGCCTTATCTATAAAATGGGGAAAAATGATCTTATCATAGGGTCACTGTGATGATTATAGTAATGTGTTTGATTAAGATTATGTATGGTAAGTATTGTGTGATTACAAAGAGTACAATAAATGTTTATTATTATTACCATCTGTGACCTACATTATCAAAAATGCTTCTTTGTATTCTCATTGTATAAAGATATTTTTGGTCAAACAGCTCTGAAAAGTTTTTATTCATAGCCCTTACTCCCAAGGGGACTAAACAGGGAATGAATGATCATGCTTTGCTCAAATGGCCCTGTCCTCCAACCCTGTCCCATTGTCCTGAAACAAACACATTGCCCTCCACTCTCTCCTCTAATGAGCTATTTCCTAAGGAGATCTTCAGTAATTCATGCAAACATAGCTCTGAAGGGTCGACCACAGTGAACCTCCAGGCAGGGCCAGGCATGTCCGAATCCTGGTATGAACACAGCTAAGATCTCTAACATATAAAGAAGAACCTGGCGATGGCTAGATGTTAGCAGCGAATGTAAAGGAGACTCTGTAAAAAGAGAAAAGAGGAAGAGAGAATTCAAGTCCCCAAGAAATGAAGAAAGCAGAAAATTTAACAGAGTAATTTCTAGGAGTCAAAGGTTATATTTTAATTTACATTTGCCCTGCAGAATATTAGTATATGTAAGCCAGAAAACATCTTTTTATTGCATCCCAAATGTAGCCATACCTTGTTTTATCGTGGTTTGTAGATATTATGCTTTTGCAAATTGAAGGCTTGTGGCAACCCTCTGTTGAACAAGTCTACTGGCACCATTTTTCCAACAGCACTTGGTTATTTTATGTCTTTGTATCACATTTTGGTAATTCTTGCAATATTTCATTATATTTGTTATGGTGACCTGTGATCAGTGATTTTTTGATATTACTATTGTCATTGCTTGGGGGCACAACAAATCACACCCACATAAGACAGCAAGCTTAATCTGTAAGTGTTGTGTGTGTTCTGTCTGCTCCACCAACCTGCTATTAACCTATCTCTCCTCCTCTCCTCGGGTCTCCCTGATTCAAGACTCAGCAATATTAAAATTGGGCCAGTTAATAACCCTACTATGGCCTCTAAGTGTTCAAGTGAAAGGAAGAGTCACATGTCTCTCACTTTAGGTCAAAAGCTAGATGTGATTAGGCTCAGTGAGGAAGGCATATTGAAAACCAAGGTAGGCCAAAAGCTAGACCTTGAGCCAAACAGCCTGGTTGTGAATGCAAAAGAAAAGTTCTTGAAGGAAATTAAAAGAGCTACTCCAGTGAACACAAATGATATAAAAGTGAAAGGGCCTTATTGATGATCTGGGGAAAGTTGTAGTGGTCAACATTCCCTTACAGCAAAACCTAAGCTAGAGAAAGGCCCACACTCTCTTCAATTCTATGAAGCCAAGAGAGTTGAGGAAGCTGCAGAAGAAAAGACTGAAGCCAGCAGAGGTTGGTTCCTGAGATTTAAGGAAAGAAGCCATCTCCATAACATCAAAGGGCAGAGTGAAGCAGCCAGTGCTAACGTAGAAGCTGCAGCAAGTTCTCCAGAAGATTTAGCTCAGATCATGAAGGAAGCTGGCTATAGATTTTCAGTGTAGACAAAGTAGTCTCGTGCTGGAAGGAGATGCCACCTATGACTTTAATAGCTAGAGAGGAGAAGTCAATGCCTGGCTTCAGAGCTTTAAAGGACAGGCTGACTCTCTTGTTAGGGGCTAATGGAGCTGGCGACTTTAAGCTAATGCTCATTTACTGTTTTTAAAATCCTAGGGCCCTTAGGAATTATGCTCAGTCTACTCTGCTTGTGCTTTGTCAATGGAACAAAGCCTGGAAGACAGCACATCTGTTGACAACATGGTTACCGAATATTTTAAGCTCACTGTTGAGACCTACTGCTCAGAAGAAGAGATTCTTTTCAAAATATTACTGTTCACTGACAATGTACCTGGTGACCCAAGAGCTCTGATGGAGATGTATAATAAGATTCAGGCTGTTTTTATGCCTGCTAACACAACATCCATCCTGCAGCCCTTGTGTCAAGCAGTAATTTTGACTTTCAAATCTTATTAAGAAATGTTTCCTAAGGCTATAGCTACCATAGATAGTGATTCCTCTGATAGATCTGGGCAGAGTCAATTGAAAACCTTCTAGAAAGGATTCACCATTCTAAACACTGTTAAGAACATTCACGTGTCACAGGAAGAGGTCAAAATATCAACGTTAACAGGAGTTCAGAAGAAGCTGACTCCCACCCTCATGGATGACTTTGAGGAGTTCAAGACTTCAGTGGAGGAAGTAGCAAGTGGAATGTGGTAGAAATAGCAAGAGAACTAGAATTAGAAGTGGAGCCTGAAGATGTGACTGAATTACTGTCATCTCATGATAAAACTTGAACAGATGAGGAGTTGCTTCTTATGAATGAACAAAAAAAAAATTTCCAGAGATGGAATCTACTTCTGGTGAAGATGCTGTGAAGATTACTGAAATGATAACAAAGGATTTAGAACATAACATTAGCTTAGTTGATAAAGCACCAGCAAGGTTTAAGACTGATCCCAATTTTGAAAGTTCTACTCTGGGTAAAATGCTATCAAAAAGCATGATACTACAGAGAAATCATTTGTGAGAGGAATAATCAACTGACATGACAAACTTCACTGTTGTGTTAGGTTAAGAAATTGCCAGTCACCCCAACCTTCAGCAACCACTACCCTGATCAGCCAGCAGCCATCAACACTGAGACAAGACCCTCTATCAGCAAAAAGATTGATTCACTGAAGGCTTAGATGATAGTTAGCATTTTTTAGCAGTAAGTATTTTTAAAATTAAGGTATGTACTTTTTAAAAACATAATTGCACAGTTAATAGACTACAAGATATTGTAAACATTACTTTTATATGCACTGGGAAACTAAAAAAAAATGTGTGACTCACTTTATTGTGATATTCGCTTTATTGTGGTAGTCTGGAACTGAACCTACAGTATCTCTGAGGTATGTCTAAAAAGATCATGTGTTTGCAAAACACTGGTAGAAAAGCTGGGACCTGTTATATGCCATGGAAATCACATCACAATTCACCAGGCACAATTCCGTTTGAAATTATCCTCCCTTGTATGTCATTCAATGGAAGAAAAAAATTAATCTGCTCAGTAATAAAATGCATAGTCCATTATAGTTATTGTGTTCTTCTTGGAAAAAAAAATAACATGACAGCTTTATTCACTCCACGTGGCAAACCAAATTGCTTCAAGGAAAGTACAAATAAGACAAACACTAAAATTGAATTTTTTCTTCCTCTTATACCCAGAAGCATATACTATGGCGGTAATGCATAAGCTAAAATGGAAATAATAACAACAGTGGAAAACCAAATGAAAATACTAAACTCAGTTAGACAACTGATTCCAAGGGGCAGTAGTCTTCATGACCCATCTGCTTGGAGAAAATTTCTTGTTAATCAGGTCTATAAAAGGGCGTGGCATTGGATTCTATTTTGTATAAAGTTCATAAACAGTGATGTGTCACTTATCTGTGGAATCTAAATTATTATTTTTTGTTTTTTTGCCTCCACCCCCTCAGGAAGTTTGCTAACTGAAGCCCCAAAGGAAATGGGCCAAATGGATCCACGTGACCGGGTATTAGAGCAAACACCAATGGAGAAATAAATCAGCACTGGCTATTCACATTAGAACATTTGGTGTTCTTTTTAATTGCGATGTCAACTGGGGACTATCTCTTATCACTATGCTGGAGAGGCCCAGTGAATACAGGAATTGAAAATTTAAAACCAGCATACCAAGTTTCAAAAATTTGCTTTAAGTGTATTCTTCTAAAAGATTCTGTACATGTTCAGATAATTGAAAATTCTCCTAGGACTTTCTTTTCCTCGGTCTTGAAAACAGTTCTACTAGGACCAGTTCTATTTTGCTGTCATCGCTTTTACATAACAAGACCCAGTGGAACATGTGACTTAGATTAATATGCAGTTTGTTAGAAAACAAAAAGTACAGAAGCTAGTTTCTCATTATGCCCTATTGCTATTTACATCATTATTTTAGAGAAGTGATGGAGAGCATAGGCTTTAGATTCTGATGGACACACCACACTATTCAGAGTCTGGTTCTGCCACATGCTAACTTTGGAACCTTGGACAAGTTATTTTACATCTCTAAGCCTCCATGATCTGTTCTGCAAAATGGGTCCAAGATTTCCTTTCTCACAAGACTGTAAAGATTAAACCAACTCTTGCACAGTACTTGGCTCATAATGAGTATTATACAAAGCAGAGCTAATTTTTTGTTGTTGAAGTATGGTTGATTTAAAATATGGCATTAGTTTCAAGTTTACAGTGAAGTGATTCAGTTACATTTTTTCAGATTATATTTCATTATAGGTTATTACAAGATAGTAGGTCTAATTCCCTGTGTGATACAGTAAATCCTTGATACTTATCTATTTCATGTATAGTAGTTTGTTATCTGTCAATCCCATACTCCTAATTTGTCCCTCCCTCCCTCCCTTCTTGCCCCTTGGTCATCATAAGTTTAGTTTCTATGTCTGTGAGTCTGTTTCTGATTTGCATATAGATTTATTTTAAATAGTAGCTATTAACATTATTATTAAGCAGATTAATTCAAGATAACGTGGTCAATTCTTTCAGGGGAAAACTGACTGACTTAACACTGGTTATAACCCAACAGATACGGAGCAGCCATTTGCCAAGGAAAAAACCTTTGCTAAGAGGGACTCTTTCAGGCTATTGCTCTGAAGGGCACATAATCAGACAGTGGAACTGATTCTCTAGAAAAGAGGGCCTCAAGCAGAGGGCTTCACAGAGAGCAACTGGAATAGGTTCATGCCACCACAGGTGAGAATGCACCTACGTGCTCACCACAGACTCAGATGAAAGGAGTCAAACAAATATCCACTTTGTGCCTTTCGTGTGCCAGGCACTATACTAAGCCCTTCACATGTTTAATGACCCTCAAATGGAAGTATTGTACCCATTTTGAAATGAGGTCAAAAGTATGTTTCTATGGGTATTTTGCCATTTTTCTATACTGAAGTGGCACTGGGCAAAGAGGTAGAGATCCAAGTTGTACTGTTAAGTTCCACTCATTTATTTTATATTTACATATAATTAAGAAATATATACACTATCACCTGGATATCAAATTTTATAAGTATGGGTTCCAAACAGATTATTCTGTATAATTTTCACCAGGACTCCAAGCAGATATTTAATGGGCTGGAGGAAGTGTTAAGTGTAAGTCAGTTTGGATGTTCTAGGTAATTCACTGAAGTAATGTGAAATTTCAGAGGAATTTGAGGGATGATAGTTTGTACTTCAGAACTGAGTTCTTAAGAACCCATCTGAAGGGATTCATGGGATGCTAATCCCATGTTGGTAAAACATTCAATATCAAAGCAAGGGAGATTATCCCCTCCCCTCACAAAATGCTCAATACTGTTCCTCCATGGTTATTGTAAGGATTAAACCACCTAATAAATGTGTATAGAAGCATAAGGACTGGCATATTGTGTTTGATAAATTAGTTTCCTCTGAAGTTGTGAAATCAAAGTAAACTGAAGTATTAATTTTAGGAGCTGAAAACTGGATTTGATGTACAGAAGGGAAGGTAAGATAGAGCTGTAGTTAAGCTCATGGACCATGGAATCATGTAAACAGGTTCAAGTCATCTTTCTACCTTTTAATGGTGTGTTTTCTTATGACTCAGTTTCCTCATCTATCAAATGGAAATCATAATTAGAATATCCATTTTGTGCACCTATCAGGATTAAAGGGGATGATGTGTGTAATACACTTGGTACACTACTAAGTGGATATAAAGTACTCAGCACATTACGTGGAACACAGTAAATGCTCAGTAATGTTACCTGCCATTATAATGAATGTAACTCCCATGCTTTCAGGATATATTTCACACCAATAAATGTTTTTCAAAGTATGGAGCATAAAGGCACTGGACATAATGTGATCTTCACAGCACATGGTGCTTTAAGAGAACCATCTCTCCATAGTGTTTGGTGGAACATCAGTCCCTCAGGATGTTATAAAATAAAAATGTCTCACATTCAGATAGCTTAAGGAGACAAAATATTCTATCCCACTTTGCATATTAAAGATCTAACAAATTTCTTCTTTAAAAAAAATCACCTTAACTTTGTTTAATCTAGCATTTCCTCCAAAATCCTTGTCCATATAATATCATTTATAATCTGTAGCACCAACATGCGATGGAACATTCTCTGAGAAACCCTGATCTGTGTCTTTAGGATTAAGTGCATAGTTCTATTTTATGAGAGTTGTTGCGTTTATTGATTGTTAGTTAAGCTTTAATTTCAGGCCCCTAATTGTCTAAATCACCTAAAATAGTGAATATGGGCGTTTCCACAGAAAAGCACATACAGTTTTAATAATTTCAGAAAAAAAATGTATGTAATGACTCCAATGCTATACTACTGGACACTTTAGGGAAATTTTCAACTGAAAAAAAGAATAACAGATTAAAGCAGATCGTGATAGAAGAAAATGTTTGCTATTAAAAGGGATGTTGAATTGTTCCAGTGAATTGTGTGTGGTGGAGATAATTAGTCTCCAAAGATGGTTCCTAATCTTCCAGTGGCTCCTAACTTCATCTTCTAGTATTCACTCCCTTCCACATTATGTCTGGACTGGCCCTGCCTATCAACCAACAGAATGTGGAGTTCTGCACCTCAGTCTAAGGAAGGCCTGGCAGCTCCTGTGCTTTTGGGAGCCCTGAGTCTCCATGGGGATTCTGCTGGAAAAGCCACACAAAGAGCAGGAGAGACCCTCAGACTGAGCAGAGGGAGAAAGATGCCCAGCTATCTGAGTATCCCAGATCAGATGGAGAAAAGATAGATGGAAAGCACTGACCTTTGAATCATGCTTGTCAAGGTTCTAGACAGGCCAGAGAACCAACGTGGACCCTGCAGACCAGTCAAATCCTCAGGTAATTGTAGCCCTGACCCAAATACCATGAAGCAGAACTGCCCCACTGAACCTAGTCAACCCAAAATTACGGGATCATAAAATGGCTGTTATTTAAAGCCAGTACATTTTGTAGTGGTGTTGTTGTTGTTGTTGCTGTTTTTAATGCAGTAATAGATGATCACAGTAATAGAGGGATAGTGTAGAGGGGTGCAAAGAAAAGTATCCGGATGGCCTGTTCTTCATTTTATATTGTTCCTCTAAATGCAAGTCAAGTGTAGTGTTTAAAATTTGTTCTCAGGTTCCCTCTGACAATTCTATGCTGACTGAATTCACAAGAGCTTAAAAGGGCAAAAGTGCCACAAAAATAGCTTGTTAAAATACTGCAGAAAAATGGCTTCTATAGCCACTCATGTTTTGTGTCAGAATTTTTTGTCTTTAGAGAAAATTGCTAAAAAGATCAAGAAATAGATTTTTCAGTTCAAGTTGTTTTAAAAATAATAAACAAAAGCAAAGAAGCTGTCTCATCTGTGTAACAAGGAAAAATTACTACTTGATCATTCTCGTAGGCTTACTTCCAAGTCAGCTCCTGAACTAGCCTTTTTTCCCTCCAGGTTGATGACTGTCATTAAAAAGTGACCAAAATGGGAAGTGCAACATACTTCACAGGTGGCTTTTCACAGTGAGAGGCTGGAGGAAGGGGAGCTGAGAATAAGGTATCACAAGTTGGGAGTGTGGGTTAGATGGGAGAAGAAACCAGAGTAGAAGAGGTTCGATTTTTTTTGTGTTTTGTAATTGCTGTGGGTGTGGAGCTCTGATGTGCAGGAATGATAAGCAAGATAGGCCTTCTGGGAAACTTCTGAGAGCAAATGCAGGATACAAAACTCTCGTACTTTCCCAATAGTGAAGATAATAAATTCTCAAGTTAGGCAGGCCAACTTGTGTTTCCTTTGAATGTGATTCCATGAAGAGACCGAGCCACACCCCTTGGGATTTACTAGGATTACACATGAAAGGTCATTATCAACTCAATTACTAATGATGTGAGACACTATTTTAGGTACTGTGTGAGGAGAGAAGAGAATAAAGCTGATAAATTCTTAAGTTATTGGTAATCCAGCAGGAAAAGCTAAGAAATATTTAATTATGTTAACAGACTATCACAGCAGAATGTCACAGCTAAATTAAGACTAGGAACAAGAACTCAGCGATTCCTGAAACTGGAGGGTTTATGACCTCTCTGATAATCAGTCTGCATAAATGAACATGCATCAATTTGCGCTTTCTAGGAAAAGAATAAAGGAATGTTTGTTTTTCTTGTTAGCCTGCTTGGAAGGACTCCTGATGGAGAAGGGCTGAGGTCGGTGGAAGGGGCAGAATAATTTTCTCCTCTGTCTTGGCTCCTGGACAGGTTTTGAATCTGCTCAGTGAAGTTTTAGTCAAAATTAAAGAAGTTGGTTTCATCAAGACTTTTCCAAAATACTCACCCCAAGTAGTGTCACTTAGGGGCCCAAAAGGCAAAGTATGGCCCAGGGATGGGGAAGGTGTTTGTATAGTGTCTCAAAGACAGGGCACTTGGTAAGACAAAACCCTGATGAACAGACAAAACCCTGAGACGTTGGGAATGCCATCTTTGGGAGCTATAGGAACTCATGCCTTTGG